GATTACAACTCCCTATTTCCTGTTGTTCTGTCTTGCAAAAGCTAAGTTTGACCATAGACTTGATGATGTTGCTCCTGCTTTTGTGGTAAAATGTGTAAAACCTCTGACTGTTCTAAAAAATGAGACAAAAAGCACTTTCTGATAACTCAAAAAATTACTTTTATGTAGACTCCTGCAAAAATATAAACCCCAAATCTCCCCCGCACGCACACACACACACACACACACACACACACACACACACACACACACACTGGGTATAAAATACAAAGAGTTTCTAGAATAATTGTCCAGAGGAGGAAATTTCAAGCACAAGCCACACTCTGGACTCATCCGGTTGCAGCCAATAAACCTTCTTCCTGCTAATTCCTTGGATGGCTAGCCTCATCAGTCCTACATCAGTACCAATAAACAGAACCCAAACAAAACTAACTGGAGGAGAAAAAAAAAATTGCCACCCTGCTATTATCAGGGAAAAGAAAGTATGAGAATAAATTGCTATCTTTTAATTATTCAAGAAGACCCGTTGTCATAAATATAATCTATGGGCTCAACTAATTGCCATAGTTGGGTGTTTTGGGTAGTTTTTAAAGTTATATATAACATTATGATACATTTTGACATAATCATAAAAGCATGGAATATAATTTGCTCTAATTTGAGTTTTACAATTTAAAAAATTCTTGGGTTCTCTTAAAAATCCAAAATAAATAGATCATTTAGAAGTCGTTAACTCTTGTGTTATGCTTTCTTCTGATTTAGAATAATTGAAGATGAAAAGGTCTTCTCTCAAAGATGTACTTTGGGTTTCGTTTGAATTCTCAGGCACATTCTATTTGTTCTTAATCTTACCTGTCAGTTCAAGCCTGCTTTTTTGACTATCCAAAGAAATTTTATGGAATGTACTTATACACTAGCAGTTTGGTAGTAGATTCCAAACCTTTCAATAAATAAATAATCAATGGAAATTTTATTTGTCTTTGACCACTTCCAATGAAATGGGATGTATTATGTCCTTATATTGCAATGTAGAGTACGGATTATATTGCACTATAGACTAGATTAAATATAATTATCAGAGCATACAAAATGCTGGATTGTATTTTATAAGTAAATATAACCATCCATTTGAGAAATCGCATAAAGAAATATGCTTTAATTACCACCTTCAACATGCAACTTTTTAAAGAAAATCATGTAATGAAGGCAAAAATATAGGCCTTGTTCTGTAGAATAGGACAATTTGAACTATCTTTTAGTGGTGACTTGGGAATCATCTTTTAAAAGAGTATTGTCAGTCAGGTGTTGTGGCACATGCTTATTGCATTCCCAGCTGCTCAGAAGTCTGAGGCAGGAAGATCACTTACTCCTAGGAGTTCAAGACCAACTCAGTCCATGTAAGAACCCATCTCAGAAGTAAAAACTAATACAAAATAAATAGCAGCATTGTCAGTTTATTCTGTTTAGCTGACTCTTCACTTGGTTAACAGTATATTTATGAATAATTTAGCCCTAAAAATAGTTTTTTCATTCAAGTAGAAGTACAAAGAATTTAGAGAATAAAGTAGTTATATATGGAATTGAAGTAGACATTATTTGATTTTCCACCCATTTACTCCTATTACCCTGATAAAGAGTAAAGCCTGTCCTTTGATTTCCAAATCAAATTGTTACACTAAAAAAAAAAAAAAAAGATGCTCTTTGAAATAGCAGGCATCTGACATTCATCGATTATGGAGTATATGACCCCCTTTTTGGCTACCTTTCATATATATATATATATATATATATATATATATATAATCACATATTTTCTCATCTGTCTCTCCGACCCAATCTGTTTTCTAAATCTCTTTGTCAATGTCATTGTTGTTACATGACCTCTGTTACTCATTGAAAAATGCAGTGTTTATGCTTTTGTTTTAGTTGAGTCTCATCAGTGATGTTTAAAAATACTACTGACTTAAAACACACACCATATCAATTATGTTAATTCTTCTGTTAGTGCCAAAGATATGAGGGCACATTTTATGTATGTGTGTATATGTATTCATGTATTTTAGATGTCCTTTCTCAAAGTCATTCAAAAAGAATATGTGAAATTTTCATCTTTCTCCACCTTATTTAAGACTCCCTGCCACAACATTTTCCTTCTCATAATATCAATGATTACTTCTTTTGTGACCTGGGGAAGATGTGAAACAAATAATGAATTCATTGGATGTTTAATTCAATGGAAATATACTAAAGAAATGAAATTGCATTTGAAATTTGTGGTCTTTCCTTTGGAAAGTATAAAGGAAAGTTTTAACTATGCGGTTCATTTTCCGGACACTAGTATTTGATTTTCTTTTCTTTTGAATATTATCAGACTGTAAGGGGTGTCTTCTTGGTGCCATAGAAACTATAAGAACGGAGATCAAGATTCCCTTCTCTAGTTCATTCTATAGATATATCATAGAGATTTGTGTGCAAGCTCTGGAGATACAACATACATGATACACAATATTTGCTCTCACAAAGCCTTGGACTTTTTAAAAAAACTGTTTATCAAATATGCAATTATGAGGTCAGTGCTTATTTCTAAAAGGGATGACTCAGGAGATGTGAAATTATGTTGTCAGCTGTCCTAACTTAAAGACAAAATGGAACACTCCCTGAATAAATCATGTTTTCACCAAGAAGATTCTATCAATGAGAGAGGGATGGCTAAGGAAAAAATAGACGGGGTAAGATCTAGGAAGAGTATCTTAGATAAAAGAAGCTACAAGTGAAAAGACCCAGAGAACAGAAAGAAGAGCTTTAAAAATCATTGAGGAAATCCTCATAGGGTTAAAAATAGGAGAGCAAGTCAATTATGGCCATGAGATGGGGCAGTAGAGGTAGGAGGAGACCACATTGTGGATGTGCTCATGTACCTCATTGGAGGTCTAGATTTTATCCTAAAGGCAATGGGGAGGGTTATGCTAGTGGCATGATTCAAGAGTGGCTGATATGTGGAGGATGAGTGGGAGTGAGTGCTGAGATACAGGGAGGCCTCTGAAAGACTATAATAGTGATTGGACAGTAGGAATTTGCTAACTAGATGGGAGGGTTTCTGAAGTAATATGGGCTGCTCCTGATGACATGAACAGCCTAGCATGAAACACAGCTCAAGATTCCATCTGATTGTGAACTTGTAGTCTCAGTTAGTATGATTATCAAGTGACAAACAAGTCCCTGGAGCAAAAGAGCTGTGCTTTTGGAAAATACTTCATGTTTCCTTTTCAAATTATACATGTAAAACATATTTGTTATACAAATCACTATAAGACAAAAAACACATAACTCAATATTCACACTGCCCTATGGTAATCAACATTAAATTTTGTGTATTTTTAAAAATACACATTTATGCAAACACAGAAAAGAGAGCACCAGCTGTGTGAACATTTTAAAAATGCAGATATATTTAGAATTTTATACTATTTGTATCATTTATAAAAAAATTATTCACTTACCAAAAATATATTTCCACACTTTTAAAAAACCATTTTGCAACATTTTAATGATTGCATGATGCAAAGAAATATTTTTAGTGCTTTCCTTAAATGTATGATTATTTCAATTGTAATAATTACATTTTAAATTAAATATTAATGTGTGAAATATTTTCAATCATATAGACATTCTATTGGCAAACTGATAAAGTCTAAAAGATAGTTTTCTAGTCTTCTAAAAATGTTTGGCAAATATTGGGGTAGGTTTACTATGGTAAGTATAGTATATTATAAGGTTAGTGCAAGAAAATGAAAACACTTAGAAATTGTTCTAAATTTGGGAAAAGAAACATACCTGTTATATTTCCTACAACAATGTTCCAGTATTTTTATGTAGGTAGTACTGTTATTTAAGGTTTCTCTCCTCCCCTTATACCTCATCTGAGCTATTGTCAAAATATATTAGCTTACAATTCTGTTAAATTTTATGGAATAGAAAAACTCTTCTTACAATATCCACAATTGAGCACTGAGAGGGCAGTCCAGCTTCTTCCTAAGTGCTTTATAGATCAAGAAAACACTCATCTATTTGCAAGCATTATTCAAGGTCAATTTAAACAGAGTTTCTTGCAGACAATTTTTTATTCAAAGAAGCAAGACTCTCAATTAGTTTAGATCTATGAATAGGAGCCATTGTTTATTGCCTGTTATTTGTACCGTAAGCTCTTATGTCTTTTTAAGAATAACTTAATAAAAAGCAGATATTTGAGTCTATAAAAGCATACACATATTTTTTTTGAATCTTATATGCTTCAACATGTTAAACTTTAAATGAAACTGAAGGACACTCATACAAAGTCACTTTTGTCAAAGCCTTTTCCTAAAACACATTTGGATGATGCAAGATGTAATCTCTTGTGATGTCCAAGTGATTGATAAACCAATTTATGTGGAATACACAAGAACTGTTTGGACTTTGTGGTTTTCTTAAATGAGATGAATAAGAAAATTTGTTTTCTGAATAGGAACTAAAGTATGCTAGGCCTATTTTAGATGCTTCAGTGTGCCAAAGATGGTATTAAGTTTGGTGTTCATAAATTACTAATCTGGAATAAGAGGTTGAATGTATTTTGAAAACTTAAACCTGTTTCACCTGAACATGTTTAACTAGATAATAAGAAACATCAAAAAGAAAAAACCCTGAGGTCAATGGTCATTTTTTGTAAAGCTATTATATGCTGTTTAAATTGCTTGTTCGGGTCTGTCTATAACATAAGTTTAATAACCTAGCTCAAATGCAGATTTCTAATTTTCAATTAACATAGGAATAATTTTGTTTGCTAAAATAAAATAAATGAATGAATGACAAGTCTGAAACATGAAATGTTCTAGGTAGAACTTTTTAAAATTCCAAATTTCAAAAAATCATGTGGCAACTGTATAGCTCAAGCTTTAAGTATTAACTTTTAACCTTTGACCTTACAGATTTTAACCAATGAAATGTCTCTTTAAACTTTAAAGGAAACAATGATAACGAGCGCCTGGCGATTGCTAGACAGCGAATTCCATATCGACTTGGTCGAGTAGTTGATGAATGGCTACTCGACAAAGGTAAAAAACATTGATTAAAACTTCAAATAAAAAAATAATTTGAACATAACCAAGTAGTACTTCATTGTAACACTAATAAACATAAAATAAATTTTCCGTAAAACTAAATTAAAAACAAATTTAAAACAGTTAAATGTAGATAGTAATATTTGCATACCTTGTATAATAATTTCTATACATTTTTAGACGTACCAGCTGTTTAATAATCTTACCCAGTTAACTTAAGGTTAAAGGGACTGTTAAATATAATCCACTAACTCAATCTATGAAGGTACTCACAGCAAGCATTAACCCAAAATGATAAATCATTCATAGATTATATTGTTCCAGCCTCTAAATTATTAACTAAAATATATGTAGTTCTGATATCTTTATTATGGTCCTGAAAAAAAAAAAAAAGCAAAACTCTTTGTTTAAACTCTAGGAATCTTAAATAGTGGGCAATATGGATTGCCAGTCAAAATGAAGTCCCTTTAACGTTTGCAACCTTCTAAGAGCATTTGGGAACAAGCCCTAATTAAAACTGAACTTAAAGTTGTGTGCATGCTTTTTATGAGCAGAGAGCAAATCTGCTAAACTGGATCCTCAATTTGATGATAATGGTACTGTTGCTAAGGATTGCTGTTTGATGGAAATGTGCCATCTTTTCTCCATTGGTTTGTGTATCATTCCTGAAGCCGCTTTTTACATCTGAAGCTATTTTTTTTTCATTTTGTTTTATTTTGATAGACTTGCTGAAAGCCAATCAGAAAAAAACTATTTTTGGATTTTTTTTTTTTTGTCTCTGACATGCTAAGTGTAAACCCTACATTTCTTTTCAGTGTGATTGCCGGAAAAGTAGAATAATTCCAATAACAATGGACTATTGCCTTCAAAAATAAACATTTCTAAATAATAGCATACAGATACATGTGGACATTATGCAAATTACGAAATTTTTACCATAAAATTTAAAACTAGACTTCTGCTACTCTAGATTAGTTTCTGTCAGAGGTAATTTTAGGATGACAAATGCTTGAAATGTTAGATATGTCACACCTTTTAAATTTAACGATTTAGACTTAACAGACCAACAATATAAGATATGAGGGCAAAGGGCAAAGGGATCCACTAAAAATTGATTTGTAATACCTATCTTTGATTGGTCTTTTAGCAAAAGCACTACATTTACAATAACTTGAGAATTTACAAGTATTTGCCAATAATTATGCATTTCATGGACACCTCATTTATAAGCAATGAATTATGAGTCAAATGCCTCTCTTATAGTTTATTGCTCTCATTATCCACCCCATGAAAGATCTGTTTTATCATCCTTTGTAGAATGTAGAGTTCACAATCAACATTTTTGCATGTATGTAATATTATTTTTACAGGGCGTCAGCTCACAATCTTCAATAGCCAAGCAACCATAATAATTGGCGGGAAAGAGCAGGGCCAGCCCTTCCAGGGCCAGCTCTCTGGGCTTTACTACAATGGCTTGAAAGTTCTGAATATGGCAGCCGAAAACGATGCCAACATCGCCATAGTGGGAAATGTGAGACTGGTTGGTGAAGTGCCTTCCTCTATGACAACTGAGTCGACAGCCACTGCCATGCAGTCAGAGATGTCCACATCAATTATGGAGACCACCACGACCCTGGCGACTAGCACAGCTAGAAGAGGAAAGCCACCTACGAAAGAACCCATCAGCCAGGTGAGCATGCATATTTCATTCCTTCATTTGGGACTTGTGAAAGTGGGCTTTTTTGCATGTGAGACGTTTATAAAATAAGTTGTTGTTTTTTTTTTTTCGGATGTCAGGCTAAATGCTTTCTTTGAGGTTGCTTAACATAATGCATTCAGTTGGAATTTGAACCATATTGTAGTTTGTGGACATTTATAAAAGGCTTTGTGTTGCTTTGCTGGTTGCTGGCTAAGAGTCTTGATAGAATACATTTGGTCTAGCCCAGGCTGAGAGGATTGTCTGCTTATTGCACACTTTTCAATTAAAGTTTAATGAGCAAGTAAATTAATGAAATATTTAAAAGACCTTGTTTGTTTAAGATCAACACTTTATCATTTTTTTTTAAGAAAAAAGCAAAGCTGATCTTAAGAGAGGTATGCCTGCAATACTTATATTGTATTTTGAAGTCTTAAAATTTTGAGTTGATAGACAAGTGGCTTTCATGGTGATTGATAGTCTATTCTTCTACTATGTATCAGAAAAACATGTTATTTCTTTGAGGACAAAGGCACCAAATGTGCTATTCAAAAACTATCTTGGGCTAAGGTATTCTGTATACTTTACTAATTGTGCTCACCTGGAATTCACTTTAATAGCTTATTATTCAATCAAAAATAGAATTTTTAAATGTGGCATAGTTACAGGCTAGAGGCTTATTAATTCAACTAAGATGTACTTGTTGATTGCCTACCATGTACTAGACATTGATGTAGTTATTACTATCACATCAATGAAGAACACAGAACGACATTTATGAATGCTGGTAGACCATGTAGAAATGCCATTACATGCTATTTGATGCGCATTGACATTTATAGCCTCTGTATATATTCAGTTGCTAATGCTTTCTCAACTGTTCATTTTCCTTGGTCCCAAATTCATTTTTAAATTTTGTTTGTAAGTTAGTAAATGTCTTTCCTAGGTACCATAAAAAGCTTTTCCAAATACATGACCCTACTTTTCTAGAAAACTACCTTCTAAAGGCATATGAGTAACAACAATTAATTTCAACATTGCTTTTACTTCATGTGTTTGAAACAGACTAAGTACCAGATTTGGAAAGAAACTAATAGAAAGCAAATTTTGTTTGTATCTGCACCCTATCTACTAATTAATTCATGTTTCCTATGAAAATAAGAAAGTAGATTCTAATTTTTACTTTACATTGAAAGAGGAGTTATGAACAGAATAGAGAAACGTCCTGGGAAAAGAAAAATGATTTAAAAATTATAAATTTGGTATATTAATAAAGGTGGTACAGTATGGTATTGCATATTTTGCACCTCTATGCCCCTGTTTTCTTCCTGTTTGCCTTTGAGCACATGGTAAAATGGGCTGTCTCCCAGGATAGTCAACAGGACATATTTATTAATCACTCTCTGCAGGAGCAGGACACTCTTCTAAGCAGGAGGATATATTGAAACAACAAACACAATCTCTAGCCCTCATGAAATATCCATTTTAGTAGGAATGTTTGCTTCAAGTGTCTTCCTTTTATTGACTTCTCTATCTATACTGACAAGATTGGTGATAATGTCATGCACTTAACTACTTGATAGAGTTGTGACTTTAGAGAGATTTATGCTTGCCCAATAGATTCATTTGATATTGTCTTATAATACTTCATTAGTGATTTCTTCCTGTCATTTATTTGTAGTTCAGTTAATGCTAAGCAAGTTTTTTTTAAAGTGAATCTGATACAGGAAAAATGAAGCACAAAGAAATCAATACCCCATTTCCTTTCTATAAAATAATTCATAAGAGAACAAGTGCATTCAGAGTTGGAAATGTTTCTGTGAATATAATTGGAAATAGGTATTGTTCTTAGTAGTTGTATTACATTTTTAATGCAATGACAGTTGTAAAAGCTCCTAGGTAATCTAAATGTATCCTTGAATAAGGAAAGAACTATTAGCATTGTTTTGATGTATTTTATCAATTAATATCTGCTACATACTAAGAAATATTCTTTTGAAAAAAGGAAAAATAACCATTTCTTTAAAAGATACTGAGAAATTCAGAAATAAAAGTATGCATTTAATAATATTAATTAATACATAAGAAATAGGGTTGACTGCTTGTTAATTTAATTGCCAATGGAAAGATTTTTTTTATTATGAGCTATTACATGTTTAAAGACAGCAGTGGTTTACACAAGTAAATGATTTAATCAATTAATAATTACTTGGATCATTTGAGGAAGTATTGACTTAAATAAAAAATTACTAGGTTCATGGAAAATAGATACTTTAAATCTTTACATCTTTTAATAGACCAAGAACAGCAATTAAAGAGTTTGGCTTAATATGTTACAAATAATCAATTGTTACAAATATTCAATTTGGCAACAACGTTTTAAACTTGGACAAATCATTTTCAAAATTGTTTTATATGTCATAGGTGCCAGTGAAATGCACCTATATAGGAGAGGAAAACCAATAGAGAAGGAAGCAAATTATTTATTTTTGTGTAATGCAATAACTTATTGTAAACTTTTCTTACCTCAACATTGATTTTCAAATTGTCCTTTAAGTACAAAGAAGTTATATATATATATATATATATATATATATATAAAATATTTAAAGTGTTTGTTGAAATTGCTCAACATTTAGGAAGTTTAAATATGCAAGTGATTTGTAATGCTAATTTTAGTTCTGGAAACGTTTACCCATTTTTTACAGATTAGATGCCTCATCTCTCCTATCAACCTCGTCCATAATGGCTATATCTGCCTGCTTTTATCTACTGCCTTACTAAATTGTGTACCAGGAAGGGTCATTTCATTTTTCAAAAGCCATACTGGACTGTTTTTTCAATCAAAGTGTATTTTCCTCAGTGATAACACTGAGCCACTTAAGCTACAATGGCAATGTACTTTGGGGTGATTGCATGTTTTAGAACTATGGAAACAGATTTTTTGGTCAAGCAGAATTAAATTGGATTCATTTCAAATAGATGAGATGAAGTTTGTTCAGTCATCCTGCAGGGCAAGGAGTAGGTGAGAAATGTATTTCGCTTTTCACAGGGTCCAAGAATATAAGAGTGTTCATGAAAATATCCTCCACAAGATCCTGTTTACTTTCCTACTTAAATGTAAATAGGTTTTAAGAAGAAAAAAATAATAGCAATTTTTCTTCTTTCTTGATCAATTTTCATACTGATGTTTCCTTAAAAAGACATAATTTATATTATGAAAGTATGGTGATATTTATCAACTCTTCTGACTAAATGGATTCATTTTAATGTGAATATAACAATATTGATAATACTTTTGTATGCATAATGTAAAGTTCAGGAACCTGTTTTACTTAGAATATTTAATTGTTTCCATAAGACCCATTTGCCTTAAGAGACATTTTCCATAAGACTATTCTCATTGAGACAATATTTGTGAAAATAATCGGAGGGTATAAAGTTCCTAGGAATGCTGACAGCTTCCTGGGATGGGGAAGCAATGAGATGGAAGGATTTAGCCACTAAATGTTCCCTCTCCTTCTTCATGATCTGGTAATGTTTTATGATGTTCATGTGCGTGTGCATTTATGTAAATAAGTAAAAGGGCAACCTTCACTCCCTTTGCTTTCCAATCTGTATAGAAAAGAAAGCAGTTCTGTGCTATTTCTTTTAAGATCAAGATTGCGGCATTTATTCTGGAATTTTCTTTGCAGCACATTTTATGATCTTTTCTTTCTTTCCTGAATACTTTACAAGCTATATACATATTATGGAAACTTTGAATGCTTGGTTTGGTAATGTTTTTTTTTCTTAGAGGTAGTATAATGGAGAGAATAGTGAATGAGAAGTCTGGTTTCCCATTGGACACCAGCAACTACCTTATTGTGTGACTTGGACAGTTTTGTTTACCTCACTCTTCTTTAGTTTTTGTTTGTTTGTTTTGTTGTTGTTGTTGATTTTGGAGTGGGGGGGGCTGGTTACCAGGCAATGAACTCAGGGGCACTCAACCACTGAGCCATAGTCCCTAGCACTATTTGGGATTTTATTTAGAGACAGGATCTCACTGAGTTGCTTAGCACTTTGCCATTCTGAGGCTGGCTTTGAACTTGCAATCCTCCCATCTCAGCCTCCTAAGCCACTGAGATTTAGGTGTGCAGCACCACGCCTGGCTTTTTTGAAGTTTGTTGCTGCCCTATAATAAGTGGGTTACTAGGAATCTCTTGAATTTTATTCAGCTCTAAAATTTAATTGATTCTAGTGATGATACTCTTAATTAGGTCTTCTCATCATTATTTAACAAAGCATAGATGTCACCCTTCACCTTTTCATAGGGTGGCCGTGCATCCCAGTTGGCCAGGATAGTCCCAGTGTGTACCTGACATTCTGAAGTAATTACTGATATATTTTTGACTCTTAGTAGCACCCCATTTTGGTATCTAACCAATATCGAACTCTACCTTTTTAGCATATGTAAAACCTATCTTTGCAAGAAAATCATACTTCACAAGAATAACGAATATCAACCCTCTCCTTAATATTCAGAGGAGAAACCGATCTGGTAGTTTTATCTGGTTTTCAGAATACACAGCTTTTTCATCTTCTCATCTTGTTTCAAAAATCTTGAGAAAGGGGAGAGAATAAAGTTTTGAAAGACTCTAGTTTTTGACTAGCCTGCATCTCCTGGGAAGAAATTAAATTATGGAGTGAGGCAGAATCAGCAAATACGAGTAGAATGTATTGGACAGTTCGGTGATTCCAGGGTGAAGTTTTCCAGGGCAGAGTTACCAAATCTACTCAAGGAGAGAAACTCTAGAGGGTTATAAAACATTCGTGGTAGCTTGTCAGAGACATGTATATTTCACACATGAGACATCCTATTAAAGTCAATGGCATTTGATTCCCAGTGGAATTTTCTGGAAAGAAACCCAATTAGTGTTCCAGCAAGAAAAGAGTATTTAATATATTGGCCACTGCTAGTGCTTCTTAGAGGCTTTGGAGCTACTCATGAAAAA